CAGGAAAGCAGGCAAGACTAGACTTTGACAAGAACTAAGGACTAGAAACTAGGGCAGGAAACTGGCTCCGTAATGTGCTACCACTAGGAGAGCGATATACGCAAACACAGGACCAAACAGGAAATGGAACACAGCTGAACCAGGTAGACACTAATGAAAACAAAGCATGATGGGAAATGGAGTCCATGACCAGAACAGGCTGGAACACAAAACAGGAACGCCCTCTAAAGCCTCACAGTGGTGCAGGCAACCGGGCGTGACACATCTTACCCCAGAATATGCTGTAAATAATGGTTGCACAACGTTGAAGCAGTAGCCACACAAACATCACATTACAATTTGTATTTTTCATAGAAACATGTATTTAGTGCCTCCTTTGTGCGACTGCAGTGTAATGTGTGTAATTATAAACACACAACAAGGTTTAAGTTTTCTTGTTTGTTCAGTTATTCAGTAATCACCTTTAGACCTGATACTCGTTTTTATCAACAGCTCTTCAAAACAAAATAATCATATTAAATGTCGTGACAGTGGCCTTTTATTTAGTGCTGTCAAATGATTAATCGCAATTAATCGCATCCAAAATAAACGTTTTTGTTTATTTGTGTGTGTACTGTGTATATTTATTATGCATATATAAATGCACACACATGCATGTATATATTTAAGAAAAACATTTTATGTTAATACATTTAAAATATTGCTATATAATATCAATTATATATATATACATGGAAATATTTTCAAAATATACTGCATGTGTGTGTATTTATATATACATAATAAATATACACAGTATACACACATATATTATGCAAACAAAAACTTTTATTTTGGATGCGATTAATCGCGATTAATCGTTTGACAGCACTAGTTTTAAATATCAAAATGAAAATGAAGTTTTTATTATATGCTAATGATATACTAGATTGATTGAGATTAGTTATAATAACCTGAAAAGATATAGGCCTACATAAACTTTATAATACAATTGCATATAACACTAAATAGAGAAAATGAGTAAGGCTACTTAAAATAGTGACGCCCATCAGGCGAGGTTCCATCAGAGGTTTGGCCCTCTAGTGCCATCTAGTGACACCATTTACACACCGCGGGCGCGGAGGACTCGTCAAACACGTGGAGGGAGACCAGATGCTGAAGGTCAGGTAAAACAATTATTAACTACTTATTCTCATAGAGGTTCTGCTGCTCTAATATAATAAATATGATTCGATGTAGTCGTTAGTGATGTTTCTTGCTGATGTTTTAGCACTCGTAGACTGCAGTCTTCACATTGCTGCCTCCTCATCAAGCCCTCGAGGTGGAGAATGAACTTTAACCAGAAAAGAAACCGAGATAATGCTCACTATATAATAGTAATATCTAGATAATAGTATCTAAAATGAGCGTGTTGGAGCATGTGTTATGAACTTAGTAATGTTAATCAGCACTCAAAACCCCTCACTTAGAAATCCCTTGCCAAAATATTAGTGATTTATTATTTAAAGTGTAAACAAATACAAGGCAGCCATATAACTTACTGAACTGAACATGGAGTGCACACTAATTCAAGACTGCATCAGTCATATCAGAATACACCTTTCTAAAAGATTGAGTGATTATATTTTTACTCATGAAATGAATGCAAATAGTAATATTTGTACCACCATAGTTTTCAGTGCTCAAATGAAAATTATTTTTAAGAATCACTTACATCCTGCACAGCATTGCCTCTTCATTGTGGAAGACTGTGATCATGCTGGTATTTTCTGAAAATTATGGACAATAAAATATAAAATAATATTTATTCCAAGGCCTTTAATTGTTTACTGGAGTTTAAACCATTTCTGAGGACACAAAACAATATTTGCATTGTTTGATTGACTAATATAAATTTTTTATCTACTTAATTAACTTTTTTTATTGTAAATGAATGCATTTTTAATATTATTTTGCAACCCCAAAACTTGCATATGATTATAATAAAAATTATTTAAAAAATATATACTACCAAATAATATTTGGTTTAAATGTGCTTAATATACAAACAAAAAGCATCAGTTCACACTTTTCCAGTCCACTGCACTGCTTTGGCAAAATTTTCTGTCCCATTTCAATAGTTTTGTTAATATAAAAGTCTAAAAAATAAAAAATAAAAATCTCTTTCTCCTTTATTTTAGATTTTTTTTTTGTCCTTTCTACACTTTACATATTTCATTGACAAGTATAAATGTATAAAATTAATCAACTTTTGTAGCATTTTGTACTTTTATTAATCAACTTTTGTAGCATTATATATCATCCTAATGCACATGACTCAAAATAATGTACAAAATAAGATTTATCTGAAACCTCATTCCTGTCAGTTTGGACTAGGAACAATAAGAAAAGCCAGGCATGAGTGCTTAACATTTTCATTTTAATCCAGCTGAGTGTGAATATGGTGGTTTGGGTGATTTTCTTTTTTAAACAGATCATTAGTGTGAAACACACACCCATTGGCAAAGTATGTATTTTTACATTTCCTGTTTCGAAAGTGTATCATTTTACATTTTATCTTGTCATTCAGGTTCATATGTTTACAGTGAAGAATTTAACATTTAGCAAATGAATAACAGTACTTCCTGTTTGTCTGAAGCATTTTTAATCTCTCGATTATGAGTAGAGAAAGGAATTTTTGTTTCACTGAACACTGCCATAAAAATAATTTGAATCACAATTATAACATTTTATGATGAAACATAAGAGAGCATTCACAAAGTTTTATTAAACCAATGATAATTAAATTTAAGTCCAAAATATCTGTTTTATTATTAAAAAAACTTTTTTTCTGGTTTTTGATAAGCTATATGCTGCTACTTTTGAACACTCAGCTTTGAATTCAAAAAGGCCTATGACAATAAAAGTAGCCTATGCTTAAAACTTTCCTTTTTGTTGTGGGTTAAATAATTTTACACTATGGAAATAAAGATTCCTAATAAGAATATTTGAGAAACAGGCAGTTATTTTATTATTATGCTATATATCCTATCTTTTGAAACAACATCTATGATATAATTAGCCTATGATTCCTGTTTGGTTACATTCATATATATATATATATATATATATATATATATATGAAGAGTGCAGGAAAACTTTACAATGCTGTAAAAATCAATATATTTATATATTTTATGGAATATGTTAAAATGCCATATATTTTCCCTCTAGTAACTGACCCAAAGCATTTTGTAATTATTCACAAACACCGCACTTTTTTTTTTTTTTTTAAGATTGCTTCTTCTTACTGGCAACCTAACACACATTTTCTGCTATGACGTATGGCATCAAGGTAGAAAGTTATGTTCCTCAAAAGAAAATAATTTGAGTGGAATGCCGAAAAATTATTTTGCTACAAAGAATGCACCCACAAAAATGTTTGTATATAATTCCAAATATTTTCTATGTACAAAGCACGCAAGCAGATGAAGAGATAAAACTCAGAGGACAACTCAGATTTAAATTTGATCAAACTAAATTAAAACAAATGTGTTTCTAAAATGTAAATGCAAAATATCCACACAAAATCTGAGACTCAGCACATTCAAAAAAGCATTGGAAAACAACAAAACTTGTTCGACCAAAAAAAAAAAAAAAACACTTTGGAAATAAAGACAAAAAAAACTAAAACAAAACAACAACAACAACAACAAAATGTATATGGTTTACCAGCATAATTAACCCGATATTTGTGTGGGCTATACATTTTTTGCTTATAGAAATGAGAGCTTCAGTGATCTCAGTTTTTATCCTTCTTTGACATTTTTAATATGATTTTATCCATGAAATGTTTGACAAAATACAGTGTTTGTACAAAAGGCCTACATCTTTTCCAGTGATGTGCTATTTACTCATGTTTTATGCTGTAGTGCCACCTAGTGAAAAAGCACATTTCCATTTAGTAACATACTCAGGAAATGAGGTTTCTGTAAAACACAGAATATTCAGAAAAATTATATTTACAGCTACAATCTATAGCTATTGTGCCATGGATGTCATGTTCAGTGAGGTGTTCATTTCACGTTTATTTTTTCATAGCTGTGCTGTGTAACACTCGTAGCCTGCAGTCCTCAGCCTGCTGTCTCCTCATGACGGCTTCCATGTGAAGAACAAACTAAACCCAGAGAAGAACAATATTACTTACAATACTCTCTAATGTAAGTGTGCTGTTGCCAGTGTTGTTAATTTATTAATGCTAGTCAACTATCAATATATGAGTTTAATGTTTTAATACTGAACAAACTGTATTAACCGTATTTTCTGTAAATTTTTTTATTGAGGAGCAGTTTTTGTTAGCAGAAAAGCACATTTGTGCACTATTGAAAGTAATTTTAGGAATGACTTACATCCTGCACAGCCTTCAGTGTTGCTTGCATATTAGCCTTGGAGCGCACATGCACACGCAGGCCTGTGGTCACTTTCTTCTTATCCATAAAGGGTGTTGATGGTGAGGATGGTCTAAATGATGGAGAGTTTGGGGATGATGGCAAGAATGATGATGACGATGGTGGTGAAGATGATTCTGAGAATGATGGAGAGTTTGGTGATGATGACAGTGAGGATGATTGAAATAATGGGATGGTTGGTAATGATGGTGAGGATGATGCAGATGGTGATGTAGTCATTGAAGTCAAAGAGATTGGTGGATAAAAAGAGGATGATGGTGTTGCTGCTGGTGGTAATAATGGTGGTGAGGTTATTGATGAAGACAATGTTGGGGATGGTGAATTTGGTAATGAAGATGGTGCTGGGGTCAGTGATGACATTAGTATTGGTGTTGCTGAAAGCGAGGATGATGATGGTGATGGTGCTGAAGTTGGTGAGGATGGTGTCTGCGATAATGGTGGGGTTGGTGTTGAAGATCGCTGAGATGTTGGAAATAGTGGAAAGGCTGTTGATGTTGTTAGAGAAGATGATGGTAAATAATTGGCAGATTATTTATCATAAAGATTTATCATAAACTAATTCTGTAGTTACTTCTTCATGGATGCACAATGACTTTGTACATTTTGTCAGCCCTTATCATGGTTCTTCCCATATAGCACTACTATTTGTTGGGAAGATTACCTCTAGTGACTTTGAAAAGTTGAGATGCCAGGCTGTTTTTAAAAGCACAACAATCACTCAGTTTCAGTGTTTTCCTGACTCTTAATATATAATATTTGATCTCACATAAAAATATTGTGATAGCAGACTGTTTTTGGTGAGTCAATTTAGTTCATAATTATAAGTTAGTTCATAATTATTTTTAAATAAAATAGTCACCTGATAATGAGGTTGTTGAGAATGATGAAGTTGAAGTTGGTGATGGAAATGATGAGGCTGCTGATGATGACAGTGTTGATGAAGATGATGGAATAGGTGGAATTATTGCTGGTGTTGATGGTGAAGATGATGAGGGTAGTGGTGAAGATGGTGAGAATTGATGAGGTGAACTTGAAGAAGAGAAGTATGATGAAAATGGTTGTGGTGGTGGTGATGATGATGAAAATAGTGGGAATGATGAAAATGATGTTGAGGATGGTGAAGAGGATGAGGATTCTGTTGTTGATAGAATTGAAGATGTTATTGTTGATAATGATGATCTTAATGTTGGTGGTGAAGATGGTGGGGATGACGATGGGCGCTGTGAATTTGCTGATGATGGTAATGATGAGGACAATGATGTAGAGATTACTGATGATGAGGGCTGTTTTGATTGGGTTGATGATGATAGTGAGACTGATGAAAATGAGGTTGAGGATGATGAAGATGGAGTAGTTGATAGTATTGAAGATGGTGGTGTTGATGATGGTGACGGTAATGTTGGTGAAAATGGTGTAGATGATAGTGTTGAAGATGATGATGTTGACAATAGTGGGCCTGATAAAGATGGTGAAAATGATGAGGGTGTAAATGATAGTATTGAAGATGTTGATGATGATGAAGACGATAGGGATGGTGATGAAGGCTGCGAGTTTACTGATGATGGCAATGATGTGGAAGATAATGTAGAGGTTGTTGATAGTAAGGGCTGTGCTGGTGAGGTTGACGATGATAGTGGGATTGATGAAGATATTGTAGATGATAGTATTGAGGATGTGGATGATGATGAAGATGATGGTAATGTTAATGATGAAGATTGTGAAGATGATGAAGATGGTGTAGATGATAATGTTGAAGAAGATGCAGGGGGTGAAGATGATGACAATAGTGGAACTGGTGAAGATGGTGTAGATGATGATGATGGTGGGACTGAGGAAGATGGTGCAGATGATGTTGTAAATGATATTATTGAAGATGTTATTTTTGATAATGACAATGATGGTAATGATGTGGAAGATAATGTAGAGGTTGTTGATAGTAAGGGCTGTGCTGGTGAGGTTGACGATGATAGTGGGATTGATGAAGATATTGTAGATGATAGTATTGAGGATGTGGATGATGATGAAGATGATGGTAATGTTAATGATGAAGATTGTAAAGATGATGAAGATGGTGTAGATGATAATGTTGAAGAAGATGATGATGGTGATGATGATGACAATAGTGGAACTGATGAAGATGGTGTCGAGGAGGGTGAAGATGGTGTAGATGATGATGATGGTGGCACTGATGAAGATGATGGTGTAGATGGAGTGAATGATAGTATTGAAGATGTTCT